GGGGCGCAGAGCGGCCTCTGGGAAAACTAAAACAGGAGGCCCCGTGGTGTCCAGAGCAGCCAGCAGAGCTCTCCACACATTACATCACAGAGTAGTAGAGGGCATTGGCTGTGGAGTTGGGAAAGACCTGGGATGGAGTCCCCACTCTCCCTTTTATTATTTGTGAGCCTACAGGCCAAGTCACTTAATTTTCTCTGAGCTCTAGTTTCCCCATCTGTAAAGTGGGCAGAATGATGCCTGCAATGCCTGCCTTATTGACTAAGCATGTCAGCACAGCAGATAGAGCACTAAACCTGGGGTCAGAAAGTTGTTGTAGTTGTTGAGTTGTTTCAGTCACGTCTGACTCTTCGTGACCCCTTTGGGATTTTCTTGGCAAAGATACTGGAATGGTTTGCCATTTCCTTCTCCAGCTCATTGCATAGATGAGGAACTGAGGCAAGCAAGGTCAAGTGACTTGCCCAGGGTCACACAGCTAGTAAGTGCCTAAAACCAGATTTTGAACTCAGGAAGATGAGTCGTCCTGATTCCAAGCTCAGTGCTCTATCCCCTGTATCACCTAGCTGCCCCAGTCATGGGGACCCGAGATCAAATTCTTCCTCTGACACTTACTAGCTGTGTGACCCTGGGCAAGTCACCCAACCTTCTTTTGTCTCAGTTTCCTCATCTGTAAAGTGGAGGTGATAACAGCATCTATCTCCCAGGGTTGTTGTGAGGATAAAATGAGAGAATATTTGTAAAGCACTCAGCCCAGTCCCTGGCACATAGTAGGTGCCATATAAACGTTAGCTGTCATTATTATTGCTAAAGGAACGTCCAAGTTCTCAATCTGATCCAATGGAATCACCTTAAAAACCAGTGTCGAAAAGGGAGAGTGGCAGTGTGGGAAAGGGTAAGGCCTCACTGGGTGAAAGGAGTGATTGTGGTCTTATTAGCCGACGTGGACACAATATTCAACAGGTGCAAAATATTTTTATTAAACCAGCATCGTCCTGTCTGATCCCCACAATAATGAAAGAGGGAAGCGAACATTTATTAAGTGGCTGCTATGTGCTAAGCACCTGACAGCTATTTTCTGCCTTCGTCCTTACGACGATCCTGGGATAACGAGGGATGGGACAGGTCCTTCCACTCTCCACTTATTTCAGGTTTAAACTTCCTCTGTCTTGCATAATTTCATGCAGGTGCCCAAGGAAGGTGCCCAGTACAGATGAGTAGGCCCTGTAATTCTCAGCCTCCTGTTCTATTTGGGATTTTCTGGTTGGTCTTTCTTTGCTCTGCATCAGTTCATACAAATTATTCCTGTCTCTCTGAATTCTTCCCCTTCGTCATTCCATGCGGCCCACAAGCATCCCTGAACGCCCCCTAGCATCACAGAATTTTGCTTGAAAGGGACCTGAGAGCCCATCCAGTCTGGCCTGTCTCCTAAGGAAGCGATTGCCCTGCAGAATACTCAGCCGTTGGTCATCTGGGCTCTGCTAGAAGACCTTGGATGAGAAGGAAGCCCCCAGCTCCTGGGGCAGCCCCTTCGGCACATTGGGACCCAGCTACGTGTTAGCACTTGTCCTGATACCATGTCTCCATCAGCCTCTTGGCCTCATGGATTCCAGCTCTGACTTCTGAGACAAGTCAAACACGTTTATTCCCTTTTTATTTCCTACTCCTTCGGATACCTGGCACAGCTTCCGTGTTTCCCCTAAACCTTGCCTTCCAAGTCAAACATCTCAGGTTCCTTCAGTGGGTCTTTACATGGCATGAATTTTCATCGGCGTGGATACCTTCTTCGGTATGTTCCCCCATCTTAGGAATCTGCTCGCTGTCCAGAACTGACCCCAGCACATCTAGGTGGTGCAGTGGATGGAGTGTTGGGTCTGGAGTCAGGAAGATCTGAGTTCAAATCCAGCTTCAGACACATACTAGCTGTGTGACCCTGAGTAGGACATTTAACCTTCGTCTGCCTCAGTTTCCTCAACTATAAAAATGGGGCTAATAACAGCATCTACCTCCCAGGTTGTGAGGATCAAATGGGATAATATTTGTAATGCCTGGCACATAGTAGGTGCTTTAAAAAATGCTTGCTCCCACAGT